TTCCAACAGCACTGCAAGTATCCACTCGTCTATTCCAACAGCACTGCAAGTATCCACTCGTCTATTCCAACAGCACTGCAAGTATCCACTCGTCTCTACAAAGACATTTGGAAGACAGCGACTTGGTTGACTGACTAAAAGAGATCCGTATTCATGCTCTTTCCAGTGAAATGTGATCCAATATCATGTGAAAATTATCAAACAATATAAATAACATGCAAGTGAAATCTTGGAGAGAATAAATCAAACAGTTGCAGCAGTAATAAAAAAAAAAAAAGGAATTGCCAGAAATTCCATCCCAATTCAGAAGGAGACATGGAACAAGAAATATCATTGTGACCTCAGATAGATCTTTTTAGAAAGTAGAGAATACCAGAAAGATGTTTACCTTTGTTTTATTGACTCCAAGGAATTCAACTGTGTGGATTGTTACAAATTATGGATAACATTGTGAAGAATGGAAATTCCAGAACACTTAATGTGCTCCTGCAGAACCTGTACATAAATTAAGAGGCAGTAGTTCGGACACAACTAAAGGGACACCGAGTGTTTTAAAATCAGGAAAGGTGAATGTCAGGGTTGTGTCCTGTCCCTGTATTAATCAGTCTCGAGGCAGAGTACATCATCTGAGAACCTAGACTGTGTGAAGCATACAGTTAGGAGAAGGTGCATTCATATTCCCTGTGCTGCAGATGACACCACCTTACTTGCTGAAAGCAAAAAAGATTTGAAGCACTACTGGTAAAGAGTAGGGATTGTACCTCAATATAACAAGTTTTTTTTTTTTTTAAATCCTCCCAATTGGGCCACTAAGCAAAATCACAATAATCTGAGAAAAGCGCGATGTTGTTGAGGATTTTGTTTTAATTGGATCTACAATCAATGCCCCTGGGAGCAGCAGTAAGGAAATCAAGCCACATACTGCATTGGTCAGACATGCTTCAAAAGACCTCTTAATGAACAAAACTCACCTTGCTGGCGACAGTGTGCCTGACTCAAGCTATGGTATTTTCAGTCACCTCATATGCATGTGAAAGCTAGATAGTGAATGAGCAGGACCACAGAAGCATTGATGCATTTGAATTCTGTTGTTGGTGAAGAACATTGGCGGTGCCAGGATCTTCCTGAACATCAACTAAATCTGTTTGGAAGGAAGTACAGCTAGAATGCTCCTTAGACGCAAGGATGGCAAGATTTTGTCCCAGGTGTACTCTTGACGTGTTATCAGGAGAGACCATTTTATTTATTACTTGGGAAATAAGATGATCAGGTCAGAGCAGGAAATGGGAAGGAAGCCATTGGGGAAACAACGTGGAAGGTATGCAGAGAAAGTAGGTGCTAACAGAAGGATTGGAAGCTCAAGCTCACCGAGATGTGCGTCAGAAGAAAGACCTGAAATTCTACTTCCCCAAAGCAGCCGTTGAAAGCCCTGTGGAGTACAGTTCTCCTCGACACGCAGATGGGGTCACCACAAATCAAGAATAAGCTGCGTAGCACCTGGGTTTTAGTATAGGTAATTTTTCATGGAGTTTTGCTAAAAGGGAACCAGAGAATTGAGTGGGACCGTAAGTGGAAAGGAACATGGGATCAAGGAGGGTGTGTTTAACAATGAGCGAAATAATTGGGAAATAATATCCTATCAGTATGCCGATGAAATGCCTCAATAAAGAAGAAAAAATGATCGTGTCAGAGAAGTAGGGGAGAAATTGCTGTCAAACCCTTCAAAAAGTTCATGGAAAGTAGAATAAAAAAAGAATGGAATCTTTTAAAAATGCATATTTTGAAGCTCCCTCCTATGTTTTTGGCAAAAGACGTATGTGTCTAATGAACACCCTGTAAGAGGGGTTGGTCCTAAGAGCGTGGAAACGATTAACCTATAATGATACAAAGCTCACAGCTGTGTATATAGATAAAAGATGAAGATTTAATAGTAGGGGGAACTGTGGAGATTCCTTTCTAATGTCTTCATTTTATTTATTTATTTTCTCAAGAATTGTCCCTTCAGAGCAGGAAATGAAAAGGAAGCCACTGGGGAATTGGTGTTGGAGAAAATATAATATGTAAATACAGGGAGTAAGTTTCTCTGGGTTAGCCTTTCATTGGGCAGATAGAAGTTCTGATGTAAGACTTGGCCCTGCTTAGGATAGGCTGCTTAGTATACCCCTGGCCTCTATCCACAAAATGGCTATAGCACTCTCCCCCACAAGTTGATAGAACCAAACATGTCTCCAGGTAGAGCCAGATGCCCCCCGAGTCAAAAGTACCCTGAGTTGAGAACCAATGGGTGAGGGAAATGTGTGATTGCTGGTGAAAAGTTTGCAGCTTCAGTGAGCTTCTTGATCATGGATTGAACATGTGTTCGTTCAGCATGGCTCTGTCCTAGTCAGCTGCCCAGGTGGAGGGATGGAATAGTTCAAAAAGATTTGACCAACATTGGGGTTTTGCCAGATGAGTACAATGAAGAGAGGAGTGGAAAGTCAGGGGCTGATTTGAATAGTTGATCACTGAACTGTGGGTGGATGAAAGTGAGCAAAGAGCTGCTTGGGTCCATAGATTGTAAGTACTCCTGAGGGACAGGAGTACCAGGCTTGAGGTGCTGAGGAGCGTGACATCATGTGGGGGGCTTCTAAATAACCTGCTCTGTGTTGGTGTCTAGGAAGAAAATCTCAGATGGAGGAAGTGCAGGATGAGCTCATTCACAGATTGACCATTGGTCGGAGTGCTGCTCAGAAGAAGTTCCACGTGCCACGGCAGAATGTGCCAGTTGTCAATATCACGTATGACTCCACGCCACAGGATGTGAAGACCTGGTTACAATCCAAGGGATTCAACCCTGTGTAAGTCGCTTGGACCAGGCTGCAATATTGTGCGTAAAAGATGCCTTGTTCTTATATTGGTCCCAGAAATTTCACAAATGACTTAAAAACAAGCAAACCACCACAAGAGTTCAAACTGCATTGGCTACATAGTCAAGACAATAGTTATTTATAAGAATTGGGAAATGCCAAAATACCTGTCATTTGACAGCAGTTTGCTTGGGAGTATATCTATCTGTTCATCTTTGGTCCTTGAAGCAACCAGTTAGTCGCCCTCAGGTCCGCAAACTTTCTCTTCCTCCTTAACTTTCACAGGGTAGGACTACGGCCTTCCCATGCGGGCCATACAGCATAATCTTTCCTTCTGCTGCAGGATATAGTAGCTCAGGCAAATTAAAAATAGATACCGTTCCCTGTTAGATTAGGATATAACAGAACTTTCCCTCTAATCAAACACATTGTAAAGTTTCTATTACCTATAGTTTAAGCCATGTATAAATGTTATATATATATTTGGCACAGCGAACTATTTAAATATAGACATTTCATGGGACCTTAAACGATTATATGGGTAGCACAGGTGAGAACTGGACTGCTAACTTCAAGGTTGGCTGTTCAAACCCACCAGCCACTCTCTGGGAGGAAGATGAGGCCATCTGCTCCCATAGAGATGTATATGCCTTGGAAACCCTCTATAGGGTCACTGTGAGTTGGAATTGACTGGTTGGCAGTGGGATTTTGGGGGTTGACATAGTGAAAACTTACCTAGTCTCAGGGCTTTGAAACGGTTTCTCATCCCCTGCTGAGAACTTGCAACTCCACCTCAGAGATGCTCATCAGAATCTACATTTTAACAAGGTCCCCAGGTGATGATACTTACAGGGCAGTAAGAACATCAGAATCACCTGGAGATCTTGCTCAATGGTAAGCTCTCATTCAGTGTAACTGGCACAAAAATGTATATTCTTAGCCTTGCTCTGCATGACTGGAAAAATAGATACACTAGTTAGTAAAATGCCGGATTTCTAGAAAATGATTGATTCCTTCTGGGAAACACCAAGTTTGAAGGAATAAAAATTAAGCATAATACACAGTAGTGATACACAGTTCAGATTTGCTCTTTTTTGATTCTTTATGATCACAGTCATATATTAACAGTTTAGGGGCTTTTCCTTTGGCACGGTCCGGACAGGGTGCTGATGTAGTTTAATAATATTTTCAGTTATGGAACACTACTAGCAGGATCAGAAAAATATGCTCAATTTTATTTTCATTTTTTTTTCATAGGTAGTGTTTTTAATGCTACATTTCCTTTTTAAAAACTTATTTATTCCCTTTCCTCCCCCCCCTCCTCGCCCCCCTAGGACTGTCAATAGTCTCGGAGTATTAAATGGTGCACAACTTTTCTCTCTTAACAAAGATGAACTGAGGACAGTTTGCCCCGAAGGGGCCAGAGTCTTCAGCCAAATCACTGTACAGAAGGCTGCACTAGAGGTAAGACTTGTCCCCTTAGGTGGTGGCTTTCTCCATTACTCGAGTGTCCACTGCGACTTGGAAGCTCTGAACAACGGCATGTGCCCACGCTGCTCAGTGCCTCCCCTTTACACAGCTGAAGTCGTTTAGACTCAGCCTTCGTCATGTGTCACGGGAAATCGTTAACGACCATTTGCAGGGAGATGAGTGTATAGTAAATGCTTGGGCAACAACCAACTTGGACATTTAATAAAAAGCGTAAGGTGTTCATGATATATGCAGGACCTACTTTTGTAAGCATTTTAGTGTGGACACAGTCGTGAGCAATCACTTCTAGTGAATAGATAGCCTTAAGAGGTGAGACGCTTGTCCCTCTTGTAATATGTAATTAAGAGCTCCTAATAGGTGGTAAAAGGACTTACATATGTGACTGAGTGTCGTAGGCCGAAATAGGGAAAGATTGATGAAAACCGAGAGCCCTTCAGAATGTGTGGAGTCTTGCTTGTCTGGACGAAAGCAGGGGACAGGTGCTTCCTAGATTGGATCGGCTTCCCAGATCCTGCTTCACTTGAAGTGCACGGGGAGCAGCTCCCAGTGGTTACTTCTGACAGCTCGTAATAATGTCCAGGAAAGTCCTATTTGGGCTTTCATAAAGGGATAGAGACTTGAGCGTAAAACTGGCGCCTGGCTGCCTTTTACTGGCATATAATGAAAATTCAGCGAGTAAGTAGCCCAGACTAAAATAGTTTCATGTCTACAGTAAACCATTCCCAATGTCCCTTAGAAACTTTCCTACAACATTGCTGTTTTCCAAGGGTTTTTTTATTTTTATTTTTTCCCCCCAAGGTTTTATCTTAAGAGTTTGATATGATTCCTTTCCATATGGTCAGTATGTGTAAGGATCACATCTTTTCTGAAGTTGTTTTGTTACTGTTGTGAATTCTAACTGTGCTGAGGATGTGTGGATTACTTATTGAGGGAATGATAGAATATTCTAATTCATGTTTTAGCCCCAAACTGCCTCACGTCATTTGTCCAGGTCTGTCACTGCCTATTTTCCTGGCGGAGGATGAAGGCAGAGGTGGTGAGCGGAGCTGTCTCCCACTCTCCAGCAACCTGCCCACTCCCCTCTTCTCTTGCTTCTCGCCTCCTCTGGTGCATAAACCCCTGAGTTATCAGAGCTCTCCAGGGAGGACAGTGGAGTGGGCGGGTGCAAAGGATAGTCTTTAGAGTTGAGAAAAGAGAAACATCCGCATGATATCAGAGGTTCAGTATTGGTTAGAGGGAAACTTGGCATCTTCCCAGCCATTGTATTTGGTCCTGATTTTAAATCTCCTAAACCGGCAGGGGCAGTTCTGTTCCACCCCACAGGGTCTCTCTGAGCCTGAATCAATGAGGTGGCAGTGAATTTTTGAGAAAGGGTGATAAGAATCTTGCCTGAGTTCAAGGGGAGTTCTTTGATCATTGGATTATTGATTTATCACTATCACATCCAGGTGAAAGGTGTGTGTGTGTGTGTGTGTGTGTGTGTGTGTGTGTGTGTGTGTAGGGGTTAGGTTCAAGGTATTTTATAAATGAAAAAGTATTGGTGTTGATATGTCAGTAAAGTCTGGAACATTACTTACATGAGGGGCAGCCTTCCGTTTTTCTCAAGAGACATAAAAGGAAAATGTAAAGGACATTTTACCCCAAGCCGTTTCATGACACAGCCCACAGCTAACACAGAGCAGTCATGATTTTGTCACAATCTTGTTTATTTTTCAGGATAACAATGGCAGCTCTGAGTTGCAGGAAATTATGCGCAGAAGGCAGGAGAAAATCAGCGCTGCGGCCAGCGACTCCGGAGTGGAATCTTTTGATGAGGGAAGCAGTCACTAATTGGATTTTATGTATTTGTCATTAAATCTTCTCCTCGGCATTATTCCAACATGCTTTGTTTTAAGAAGTCATGAAGGGAATGTCAGATTTTAGTGTCTTGGTCCCGTTAATTTATCCCCACAAAGAACGGATGTGCACCTGAGGAAGCAGGGCACTTGCCTCTGGGCCCCTGGTGGTTGTTAACAGGGACAATTTTTAAACGGCATTTGCTGGACCTTGAGCTATATGTCACCTGCTTCACCAAGGTGAGGCTTTCGTTATTGGTTTAATTATTTCTTCCAAATCTCAGTGCATAATCAGGAATTTTTGACAGGGAGGAATTTATTTATTGCAACAAAGCAAGGAGCTTGCCCTTGATTGAACATCTAGGCAATTTCGATTTGGACTGCCATCCAGTGTCTGTCATTTCGAGTGTAGCTCACGTTAGGCTGGTCTCTACTTTCTCAGGTCTCTTTTCTGGCATGCGCCATGATAGACTGTTTAGAGTTATTTAAAGTTCCTAATGCCAAGAATTGAGGGGGGAACACATTTGAATAAAGTGTAAAGTACAACAGGGACTTTCACATGCAAATGTAAACCTAGGAACATTCCCAAGACATTTTATTTATCGTGACTCTATTGATCATCATCCCTTGTATAGCTTGTATTTTGATTTGGTTTATATTTTACTTACTATGTATACTGTATCCTTATATATGAGAAAGCACAAGTGGAAAAGAGGTCATACTCAAAATCTGTCAAAGAAAGTAGCCTTCACTGACGTACAGTACAGTATTTTGCTTCATGAAGGCCTCGGTTCTGAATATTGATGTACACATAATAGGGGCCATTTTATGTGTTTATCTGTGTTATTCTGTTTCTTGTCATCAGAAGCAGCTAATGTACACATATTTTAATCCTGTGAAAGATTCGAGATAGAGAAAAGAAAAAGATACCTAACCATCAACAAATGTTATTTTTGCAAACATGATTTTTGTCATTAAATGTTGTATTATTTCACTTATATAAAGCAGATGTTATGTAAGAATGTTGTATATTTTAACATAAATTCATTTAGGAAGATTGCCTAGATTCATTAATTTTCATAGTGCCTTTTTCACGAGTCAGCTGGAAAGTCTGCAATAAACAGTATTTGCTGTATGTGAATACATGGTCTGTCTCTGGCAAAAAAGTAAAAGATTGTGCTACGTGGAGGGGACCACAGTTGGGCGGAGTGTAAGCAACAGAGGTCGACTTGTGTTTTCATTGTAACGAGTGGTAGCCCATCCCAGGATGTGTGAATACTTTCTTTCTTTCACCGTTGCCTTATTTTCCACTCCCATCGTTTCCTCATGCTGTCTAGTTATTTGGCCCAGTAGTGAAAATCACACTTCAGCAACATGTGTGGTTACTGTGTGACCTCACATAAAGCCTTTCCTAGCTGTCTATGAACCTCTCTTCATGCTATTTTTATAGATGATGAGATTCAAGCCCTTAGAGCTAATTAATGTTCACCAAATCAGGGAGGATTTTATTGCTCCCATTTCTCCTCTTCACTTGTCTCTCCATAAGACTCCCCCCACCTGACAATGTAGACAAAGAAATCATTCATAAGCACTGGCACTTAGTCCTTGTCAAATCTCATCAAAAATCTAGGAATAATCGACAGATATACATATCTATATTTATACCTCGATATGTGATTTTCACTCTCTTCTTATTTCCTCCTGCCCCACTATCATGTCTACCCATCATTCACTTCTCAGTAATTCCTCTCAGATACATCTCAATGGATCAAATACGACCAGGTGTAATACTCCTTCCTCACTTGAGAACCCTTACTATTCTCCTGTCCCTGTCATTACTGGCTTACCTCTACCCGCACCCCTGCCTCTCCCCTTCTGAATAATTTAATAATAAGGGATCCTGGGGGATAGAGTGGGGGAGGGAGAGGATAAAGGGGAGTTGATATTAAGGATTTCAAAAGAAAGAAAAGGTGTTGAAATTGATGGTGGCAGCAATTGTATAATTATGCATGATCTAATTATGGATTATAATATCTATAAGAGCTCCTCATTGAGTGTGTGTGTGTGTGTGTGTGTGTGTATGGCAAAAGAAAAGAAAATGTAGGTAAGGCCCAAGAAAGGTTAAAATATCTTGCGTGTAAATTAATATAACTGTTTAAAGAATTGATTTAGTTTCCCGATATGCCTTAGTCTATAAAACACCAATGCTGTATCACAGAGATAGTAATTGTAAGAAGTGTTTGTCACCACAGGGGCCCTAGGTCCGAAGAGAGGATTTAGGATTAATGGGATTGAGGAACTTGAAGAAGGGGCCCTACAGGGTTTGCATTCAGACTTCTAAACAGTTTGATGTGGATTTTCCCTAAATTTGGAAGCAAGACTCATCAGAGCTGATGAACTTCTGAGAAAGGGGCACAGCATAGTTGGTGCTATTGAATCAGAAATGGAGGAAATAGCTCAAGATTGGAGACAAGATTAAGAAAATGCATGGGGCTGGACTTGTACCCACGGGGCAGCACGGTGGCCAGTTGGTGCTTGAATCCCTTGGGTGGGCACAGGCACAAACACACTGAAGAGCCTTTTGGTATCATGTTTACTCTCGACACAGTCTTATCACTCTCTTGAGTCAAAATTTCACCCACATGCCTGCAGTGCTCATACTCAGAGGAGTGAGTTTAAATTTATGACCCTTCATTGTCTCCAAAAGGCATGCCTTCAAAGTTAGCGTGAGAGCGCTTTGGGGGGTGGTGTCAAGGGCACCCTGAAATGAGTTGGGAGGCAAAGTGATCACCATTTTACCACCCTTCTCTCGGTTCTTTCCCTTATTTTCAGCAAACTTAAAACAAAAGTGAAGTAGGCCAGGCTAAGCGATGCTGGTGCTGGTGTGGACGAGGGCAGCACCGTGTTTTCTGACGTTGCAGGCCCCACACGGATTCCCTGTGCATTCATACCCCGGTTTTTCACACCCGCTTTCTTTCCACCACCCAGCTCCTCCGTTCATCCTTCCCCTCAAGCCTGGCCAACGCCTGCTCCTACATCGCCTCCCCTCCTCCTCTCCTGCCAGGTCTGTTGCTCCCTCTTAGAAACCAGCGCTCCAAGAAAATGATCAAAATGGTTTTATTTGTTTTTGTTTTCTTCTTTGAAAGGATGGAGGACTCTGGTTAGCAGTTAAAAAGAAAATTTTTTAACACCTAAATCTTCAGATTTATGTGATTGAATTGTAAGAGAAAGGTTAAAAAGTTAAAATCTAGTAAAACTGTCATGATTAAAGAGACTGCTCAGTATGCCACAATCAGGCTCTGAACTGAAGAGAGTAAAATTGGAGAAAGATCTGGCTGTCTGGTCCTCTGGGGGAACGAAGGCCCAAAGCTGGATTCTGTACCGATCAGCTGGCCTGCTCTGATGTGCCCTTGGCACGCAGTCCTTAGCGTGGGGCTAGTAGTAATGGGGAATGAGCCAGGGCCCTGCCAGGCCCAGAAGGTTCTGGTCCAGGTAAGTGCTGTGCACACTTCCCTTCCTGACGGTAGCCCCAGGGTTTCCCCCATTTCTGCTCATTTTCTGGGTTACCTTACTTAGGTGACATTCCTGTGTCTTGTCCCATAAGTCTGGCTATAGAGGGGATTATAATTTGTCGGCTTCAATTCTTATTATCCCTAAGATGAACACACAGGTACTTTGAATCATTGGAAAATGGGAAAACACATACATACAAGTTATAAAAAATAAAAAATTCAATAGCTCTTTCGGTTTGTCCTGTTAGTTTTTACTCTGAGTTATGTGCTAAGGCCTGCTGCCTTCTCCGTTATTCTTCAGGAAGAGGGGAGAGGGGACTGAACGGTGTGTTCTGGGCACTCACCCAGAAGAGCCGCACTTGACAGGTGAGGTCAACTCTCAGAAAGTCACACGGGTAAGTGGAAGAACTAAATTGGACTCCACTCTCTTGGCTTCTATAGATTGTGCCAAACTTCTCTTCTCTCGAATGTTCCAGGTCCACACATTGTAAGCAGGAAAAGCATTGAGTTGAACGCTACTTGCTGCAGTGTGTTTCTATGTGTGGGTGTGGGTGTGGTTTATCAAATAACCTGACAATGGAGAGATCCTCTTCAGCTCATAGGAGTTCTGTGGTCAGAGGATCAATTTACCTTCAAGTAGTGAGTCAGCAAAAGGAAAAAGCCCCTCGAGACAGATTGGCAGAGTGGTTGTGACAATAGGCGCAAACACAGCAGTTGTTGGGGTGGTGTGTGGCCAGGCAGTGTTTTGTTCTGTGGCACACAGGGTCACTGATGAGCCAGATTGGCTTCCCTGTGCCGAACAATCACACGGAGCATGAGTGGAAATAGCAGAGCGGTTGGTCACAGGCTCAGACCTTTGCTGTGGTCTGTTTTCTAGCTCACAAAGAAACAGCATATTGCAGGGTGCGAAGGTTGAAAGCAGCCAGGAATTCAGAGCACACTTTATATTCAGGAAGATGACACGGGAATGTGGGTTTATATTGCCCCTCTCCAAAACCAATCTGAGTATAGAACAGAATTTAGATGGGTAGAGCATGTGTTTCATTGCCTCATAGGCAACGAACAGTGGTGCTCCACCTTCCTCATGCCACGACCCTTTCAGACAGTTCCTCCTGTTGTGGCGACCCCCCCTCAAACATAAAATGATTTTTGTTGCTACTTCATAAGTGTAATTTTGCTACCGTTATGAATCGGGTGACCCCTGTGAAGGGGTTGTTCAACCCCAAAGGTTGAGAGCCGCTGGCCTAGAAGGAACCGGGCGATGGCTATGGTGCTTTGGTAACAGCTCAATGGATTTTCAAAATGCAAGTTAAAACAGCTGCCTGGAATTGCTTGGATGCTTATGCTTTGTTAGCATCTGTCAGACTGAGTTGCATCTACTCTTTTTTAGACGCAGATGTACAGACAAGGCTCTTGCCTCTGACAGGGTTGCTATTCCCCAGTTGGGGACCAGTTGGTGCAGTTGTACCGCCATGCTGCGGAGCAGAAGAGTGGAGGATAAGTTTGCAAATGAAGATGAATCGAATGGGCACACACACTTTGTAGCGGTCTCGGTCCCGGAATGAGTGGGGGTTTGGGCACTCTAAAGGTGTGAGGAGATTCAGAAAAACATACCATTCATTCTAGGCCACCTCTGTGCCAGCCCTGGCTAGTGCTTTAGCATTTTACACAAACCGATTCTTGGTGTTGCCATAACTTGCAAAGGGGGAGTTACTTTGTGGTGGGGACCCTTAGATTTGGAGGTAGTGCTCATAGATGAACTTGCCAGCGTCTCTCTCTTCCTAGTGTCAGAGCACAGGTTCTGGGTTTTCAGTGGTGTCAGTCTGCTCCTTCAAGCCACCAGGCACCATGCCAAGGGGCTTTGCATTTCACCCTCAACACAAACCTGTGGAGGGCGCTCTTACTAGTCCCAGCCTACAAATAAGGAAACCAGGTGACAGAGAGCTGACACGGTGTTGGCACGTGGTGTCTGCTCACCCTAAACTGCTCTTCCTTGTTCTTCCCACCTGTACCCACCTGTTAAGGTTTTCCCAAGTTGGCTTCTTTGAGAGCAAACGGTCAGCTTCACGGAACATTCTGATGCAGCCAATATGTACAGGTCGTCTGTAGACCTGCATGCAGATGGCTTCATTGAATGCGAATCCGGCACGGAGATATGGTTTGCTGGGAAACCGTTTTGTGTAGGTTATGTGTGGGCATGGGACACAAAACACACTTTGCTGACGGGCTTGGCAGTAGAGAATCACAGAAACTAGCCAGGCCTGTGAAATCTGGGTCTCTGGGCTGCAGGATGGCTCCTGCTGTGGCCACACCTGCCCGGGACTCGGGGTGTATGTTGGATCACAGGCAGATGCTCCTTTCCACTCTGAGTCTCTGACTGGTGGGGGGATTTGGCTGCTACCCTGGGGAAGCAAGTCGGCTCAGGTCACAGTGTTGGCTGACTTCAGAAAAAGCTGGTGAAGATGAAAGAATTCACTCTGGTGGCACTCTGAGTTAGGCATCCACACTGCTGTCCCCAAGGTCAGCTACTCAAATCCACCAGCTGTTAGTCGGGAGCAAGAAGAAGCTGTCCACTGCCTTAAAGATTTCCTGTCTCTGAAACCCTAGGAGTCAGAATCAATTTGGTTCG